GGATTCTTAAAACTTATAAAATAAAATAAATACAGAAATAAACAACAAACGAAATTACAATTATACGTTATTAAAATATAGAAGTTCAGCGCAGAGAATCGTAACTACAAATCTCTTTCTTTTGCAACATAACTATAAAAATTGTTTTGGTGTTGTTTCGCACAAAAAATAATCAAATTTATTTTAATTTTTTAGTAATGTAATTATTTTTTTTTAAATTTACAGCTTTTTAATTTTTAAATTTTAATTATAAGCAAGTTAACATTGGTTAAACTATCGGATTACCTGTTGATTTTCGAAAATATAACTACAGAATATTTATTACAAGCATGATCAATCTTGCCAGTTTTTAAGCCCTAAATTTGCCAAAATCAGTGATATTTGTTACCCAATGTCATTTCAGTTAACTAATTATTAAACTATGTATCGAAGTTGCGGAAAAAAACGGAAGAGAGAGGGAAAATATGCTTGCAGTACAGTACATTCAAGGAAAATCGTAACAACAAATATAAAAAGCTTGTGCCAACAACAAGTCAGCGCCAGTATTTTACTGTAAACGTCGGGTAACTATTTATAATTTTTTATGTTTTAAACTGAAAAACGATTAAATTACAGATTTTTACTGATCTGTTTAGCTATTTTGAAGTGAACATTCTAATAAATTACGATTTCAACTTTTAAAAGTTTGCAAACAAATTTTTAATTAGTTATTTTTTATTCTAATAAACAATTTCATTTTTTTATAATCGCTGAATTACTAAAATTAAAAATTAAACACTATTACATAAAAGTAGTTTATCCTGTTATTAATTAACTCCCTTGCTACCCACTAATTTTTAATATTAATGTAATTAAACATAAAAAATATTTAAAACTGGGAAAAAAACGAAAGAAATGCGTTAATTTTGAAGAAAAAGCTTCAAACTTTATTTTCCATTGTCTCGCCTTTCTGTGAAATCTGACACCGATGAGTCATTGTGTTTACAGCTGGATGACCTGGAGAACAGCTGGTGTTGGGATTTCCCGGGACATTCTCATAGAAGTCTCGGGAGGAGAAGGGTTTAAAGTAGAGTGAATACTAGCTGGCCGTATATTTTTAAATATTTTTCAAAAATTACGTTTTTTTATTGCGATTTCCGACCCCCCGACTTAATTAAACGTATATATAATAAAATATATTAATTTAAAAAAATTAAAAAACTATTGGAGGTCGTTTTTGACATCAGAAACTAGCTTTAAATAACTTTATCGAAGTAAAATCCGTGCACTACTACTTTAGAACGATGAATGAAATTTGATAAAAAAAACTCCCATTAAAAAACAATTAAGAGTTAATCGTGCGTCATTAAAGGTATATTAAAATCGCGATAAAATATTTTCGCGCGGGAAAAAATTTTTGAAAAAATTTGGAGACTTAAAAAACATCCAAAAAAAACAAAAATTTTTTCGGAGGGCCCAAATGCCCGAGTTTTATGTAACGCTATGGAACTTGCCCGAGTTATCTCGAGTTTTAAAGATTGCAGCATTACTTCTTGCCGCCTGCAGATGGCTGTGCTTGGTCACCCATATTCAGCAAACGAGATCAACAATGCAGTTAAGGAGACAAATTCCCTGACTTTTTGACAATTTTTGACAAATTCCCTGACTTTTTGACAATTTTCGACAAATTCCCTGACTTTCCCTGACCTTTTCCAAACACTAATGAAAATCCCTGACTTTCCAGGTGCGTAGGAACCCTGTATATAAAAAACATAATAAAACTGCTTACATTACATAATGTAAAATATTAAAGTTTTAAAAAATTCACAGACAAAAATTAAAAAGAATTATATCATAAAACTTATTCTTTGATTTCAGTGAAATCCTTAATTACGAGGTCTGTTCAAAAAATACGCAGACTGACGTCATAAAACAAAATGTACTTTAGTTAGAAGTTACATGTATGGGTCCCCTTCAAAGTACTCTCCTTCCCAACACACACACTTATCTCAATGGTGTTTCCACTTGTTGAAACAGTCCTGGTACGCTTCTTTTGTAATGTCTTTCAGCACCTTCATCGCATTTGCCTTAATCTCGGGAATCATCACAAATCTTCTTCCTTTCAAGGGTCTTTTGAGTTTGAGGAACAAGAAAAAATCACAAGGAGCAAGGTCAGGAGAGTAGGGGGATGGGGAAGAACAGTGATCAAGTGTTTGGCCAAAAACGCACGAGTTCTGAGGGCTGAATGGGCTGGAACATTGTCATGATGGAGAAACCAACCACCATTCCTCCACATTTCTGGCCTTTTGTGATGGATGGCATCCCTCAGACGTTTCAGAACTTCAATGTAGTAAGTCTGGTTCACTTTGGAGCTTTGGGGGAGGTACTTGTGGTGAACAACACCCTTAGCATCAAAGAAAACTGTCAGCATCACCTTGACATTGGATCGAACTTGGTGAGCTTTTTTGGGTCTGGGGACCACTTCAAACATGCTGTATGCTTCATAGCAACATCACCGTAAGCCATGTTGAGCATAGCAAATGTTTCAGTCCCAGATTTTCCAAGTTTAACACAAAATTTCAAAGCAAGTCGTTGCTCCATTAGGTCATTCATTCTGAAATCCGACAAACGAAAAAAATCGCACTTCACTAAAAACTGCATAACTAATCAACAAGTAAAGATATATGTAAGTGGGAAATGGCTTTATCACCAGACGATCTGTACAAACCTAGCAACACCAAGCAGATTCCCTGGAACCAACTGGAGCCGTATAATTCAAACAGTCCGCGTTTTTTTGAACAGACCTCATGTATCATCAAAATCTAATTTTTCACATATTTTGTGTTCTATTGTTAATAGTTAGATTTGGGAAGGAATCTGCAGTTTAGACAGCATATTTAAAACATTGTTATGAAATCTTATTAGTTATGTCATTGAGCAAATGGCACAAAATATTTTAATTTTGTCATATAAATTGTCACCATTCCTCAGTGCTAAATCTAAATCCATACAATGATTCATAAGATCATCCTCATTGGTTGTCATTAATTGTAAAAACCAAAAATGGCACTATGCTCTTCAATTTGTTTAAACTTGTGGATGTAGTAAAAATAGACTTGTGGATAATTATTGCATTTAGAAAAGAAGTATATTACTGAATAAAACACACCTTTCCACAATATGCATTTCAACCAAATAACTAGTTTGGCCCTCTTTAGTTGTAAATTAAACTGTTTACATATAAAAAATTTTTTGGTTGTCTTCTTAATTTTTTCCTTAATAATGTTTCAAGTTCTTTTATTTACTAAGGTTCCAAATTTTCGTTGATTTTTAAAAATGTACAGTATATATTTTATCAAGTTTTAAAAAATTGACATTATAGCTTTGCTTTCTAGTACACTTTAGCAACACAATAAGAATTCAACCTTTTTAAAAATGTAACGAAAATCCAAAATTCTAGTAAATAAAAAAACACAAAACATTACTAAAGAAAAATTATGACAACCAAAAAAATTTTTATATGTAAACTCAGTTTAATTTACAACTATATATTGTAAAAAACAAGTATGTTATTGAATAAAATACCTTTCTAAATGCAATAATTATTCACAAGGTCTCAATTGTATATGGGTTATAGTATAAATTTCAGATCATCCCATAATCTCAACCATGCTATTTTAGTATTTATATTAATTAATAGATATTTGCTTCAAAAGTATTTGTACACTTATTGGTTTCTTCATAACAAAATAAATGTTTTTGTTTTCTCGATCTGACTTCTTTGAATACAAGAGGAATGTCATATTTTGTGCAAATTTCATTTATTATTTATTTTGATTTTAAGAAACCATTTTCTTTAAAATCTTTTAATTAAATAATCTGCTAATCACTTAATAGTGACACTATTAAACTTAAATTGATGCCAATTTTTTGTACACTATTACTTGCAGATGAAATATCACACCAAATAACAGCAAATAGCACAAATTCAAAATTACAGAAATTTCAAATTTTATTACAACAGTCAAACTTTACCAACGTGCACCGTCACGGCCACACAGTGGGGACTCACGTTCTAACCCGACCTAACCTAACCTATTCTAATAAATTACCATAATAACCTAACAAAGTTTTTCGAAGCCATTTTCATCATAGCTATTAACGTAACGTTCAGTTCTTTTAATTTATTACCATTTTCTACGTTATAGATGCCTAAATATGCATAAATAGAAAATTCTTGCCGTTTAATGTATTTCCTACGTAGCACTGCGCCTAATTACTACAAAAAGGCAAAACAACATAAAAAATAAAAAACAAGAAGTTTAATTTCTTATTTTTTAAAGGTAGGGCTCCGGGCAAGTGCCCCAGCCGCTCAACTCCAACGGCGGTACCGGCCACGTTCGCCATTTAATCGGTGCCGGCAGAAGTTAATAGCATCGTAACGACTCGTAAGGCCGTCCTCGTCGGTCTTCATTAATACAGAAGTATCGAGGTAATCCAAAACAATTTCCTTACGAAACCGTTTCGTACATACGTAAAGCCGGCCAAAGATAAGTTTCGGTTAGTTTTAACCGATCAAACAATAAAAACAAAATTCTTGGTATTTTTTTACGATTACAAAACGTTTATGTAATTAAAATTGATAAAATGATACAATTATACATTTTACAAGCTCTCAAATAATAGCAATCATTTTAATTTCATTAACAATATGCTGGTAAACTGGTTTAATTAGTTTTACGGTATAAATTCTGGGATTTCTTGCATCAAGCTTACAATTCATAGGTGATGATAATTTAAGCAGTTAAGGTAGAAGTTCCCTTCCCACGCATATATATTATTCTCTTTAGGTAATAATATATATGCGTGCGCATAGTATGTAAAAGTTATATCTACCGAAATTCATTCGTCTCGCATTTATAAGTACCCATCTATTAAGAAATCGTTATTCTTCAATTACTTGTGAATGACGAATTTAAAGCAAGCAAAGCAAAACATATTTGACCAAGCCGAGAACCCACCTTGACGTCGATATCGAGAAATCCACCTTCGGCAACTTCAAACGTTAATCCCATTTTAGTTTTAGTAGTTACTTTATCGAAAAAGCATTCTTCGGCGTGAGCATCGACCGTGATAAAGTAGCATCGAGCCCGATTTGCTAAAATTAAAACTAAAACGGCAAAGAAACAAACCGAATCACACTTCGTTTTCATGTTTGTACCACTTCCATCCGAACCCAATGCCACGTTCCCTTACGATTACCATGCCGCCCTCTCGTGTCCATATCCAATATTTATAATTTTATCGTTTGGCTTATATTAGACGATAGATGTTTTAAATTGATAAATATAATGTTTTCTATTTCATCAAATTAAAATACAAAGCATTTTGTTACGTGATAAATTTCGATGACGTGACGTTTACTCGGAAATATCATAATTATGTTTAAAAGTTTTATTTTTACATTTTATTATTACTACGTGTATAGAATTTGTGATTAAAAATCAAACAATTTAATTCGATACAAGAAAAAGTAAAAAGAACAAATTAATTGGGCACGATTACGTAGATTAAATCCCTTGCGCTAAAATTTTACGCAAAACTTAAAAGAACATTTTTAATATTAGTGTTTTTATAGAATGAGAATTATATGAAATCACCGCTGTTACTAAAAATAAACGTCGGTTTTTATTTTCGTTGCCAGTTATAGTTATAAAAATATACAAGGTCTGTTCAAAAAGTATCGGACCTTTGGTCAGCAAAAATAAATTTTTTGACTTTGAGGTACAAAACCCTAATCCCCTTCAAAGTAGTCTCCTTGGTAATGTATACACTTCTCCCAGCGTTCCTGCCATTGCTGGAAACACTGCTGGAACGCATCTTTTGGAATGGTTATCAGCCGGTCCGTCGCATTTCGCATGATGTCTTCTCTCGACTAAATTTGGGTTCCTTTTAGCGGCATTTTCAGCTTGAGAAATAGCCAAAGGTCACACGGAGCCATGTGGAGAGAGTACGGAGCGTGACGAACCACAGGAGTATTGTGTTTGGCGACGAAAGCCCGAATCAGATGCGCAGAATGGGCGGATGCGTTATCACGATGGAGCTGCCAAGTTTTGATCGACCACAGATCCCATCGTTTGCATCGCACTGTATCGGAAAGACGACGAAGGACCTCCTGGTAGTACTCCTTTGGGATGGTTTGGCCTTGTGGTGCGTACTCACGACACACCACCCCACGAGAGTCGAAAAAACTGTCAACATGACCTTTGATATTGCTGCGGACCTGCCGCGCTTTTTTTGGCCTCGAGGATCGTCCCCGAAAGCCTGCTGAATCTTGCGAATGGTTTACACTCGGGTATCGCCAAGGTTTTTGGCAAAATTTGATGTAATATCGCTGCTCACGTTGTTCAGTCATTTTCCAGCTTAGTGAAATCCGACGAGAGCGCACTACATGACCTCACTCATACGCCGATTGCCAACGACTGACGCTTCCTGCAGGCGGGAAAAAATTCAGGGCTGTGCATGACTGTCCCCTCCACAACTCCACCGAAGGAGGCCTCTCTCGCATCATTGGTTTACGCGGAAAAAAAAGGTCCGATACTTTTTGAACAGACCTTGTATATTACATTTTTGTAACATGTAGTTTGAATAAAACTTAACTTCTATATAAGCTCTTATACTTTGTTTAAAGAAATATTTAAATACTCGTTAATCTACATAGTTCATTTTTAAAGATTAATTCCAAACAAGTAAAATGGCAAAACCGTGTTTGGGACAAGACTATGTCTCGGAAATTCGCTACTAAGCCCAATCACTTTGACGCTCGACGCGGGTCTCATTCTCATTCTCCGATCTTTGGTATCGCTGCTTCTGGGCGCGAATCGTTCAAACTTCGCCGGCCACCGTGCATTTCCCACGAAATTAACATATCCGATTTCCAAATTTCTCTCCGTTGCGTGTCGGCCCGGGTCGAATTTTTGTCCATGCGTAACGAAAATTTCCCGTTTAAAAAAAAACAATCGCGGCTATTGTATCGTCCGAAATTATTTTTTTATTTCGCGCAAACAATATACAGTTTAACTCGATTATAACGTCATCGGATGTAACGACGACTCTAATATAACGTCAAATTTTTATCGGTTCCACGATTTTACTATAATAGATAGTGTTAAAAAAACCACTGGTAACGACATAAAACCGTTTTAACGTCATATTTGAAGCCCTCCCAAATTTACAAAATTAGATTACAAATTTTATTTAACATAGAAGAAACTGTGTATTCGGTCCTAAGGTCGGAGTTCACTTCTGAGAGTGACTGCGGGTGGTACTCTCCCCCTACTTCGGTGGGGTGAGGTGCCTGTTTGTAGAAGAGGGTCGCCATTTTCCATTTTATTTTGACTCGGTTCTCGGTCCCCCGACTACTTACGAGTCTGAATTTTTTTATGCGCAAATGATTTGGGCACCTAATACTCTGTGCCAAATATCGGCTCTCGACGTGTTCTCCTTCATTCCTCTATGCTGGAAACATAAAACGGCAGTATAATTTTATAAACAAGACATCGTCTTGTCAAAAAGTAAAAACATATATTTAAAATCATATGTATTATATGTCAATATTTTGAATTTTCTTCAACTTCTCTTAAGAAGAGAAGAGCTTTTTACAGTTCAGTTTTCTAAAGATGATACTTGACAATGCTAATAATATTTTCTAGTTTTGCAAAAACAGTTTTTAGCAAAACTTATAATAATCTAGATTCTTCACTAGATGTTTCTTCCACTTTTTGCCTTTTTCCCAGTGGGCATTAAGAGGCCCTTGCTTCCATACCCATTGTGGGTCTTGCAAGGCCCACAACGGGCATGGAAGCAAGGACTTCTTTTAGTGCCCTCAATTCCTCAAAATTCTTGTCGTTCCCTTTTGGGTTTGGCTAGGTCCACAACGGGACGACGAGAATTTTTCTTGGATAGCCAAAATACGTTAGGCTACTCTCAAAAATTTCCTGAGGTTGCTCGCCAATTCATTGGATCTATTTTCATATTTGTTTATCCTATTGCCTAAATTGCTGAGCTTTATAACTGCACGGTTTACAGTAACGTAAATATCTCACTATATTTGGAGTTATGGCATTAATTCTTAGTTACTGCATGATGCCAATTACCTAGTACAGATTCTGTTGATCCTTCCTTCTCTACTTTGTTCAGAGAAAAATGGCTTTTCGTAGATTTAAGTGCAATATATAATTCCAGATTTAATTTTATGGATCACCAACTTTTACAAGTACTGTACGTTCAAACTTTTTTCCTATTTATCTTAGACCAGCAGATGAGCCCGGCGTTGCTCGGGCAAAAAACAACAAAGATTATTATTATTAGATTATTTCGTACTTCTAATCCTTCTATTCTAGCAGCAGCGGTATCATTCCGTGGTATAAATAATAAATTCTTATTACAAATAAAAATAACACCGAATTTCTCGCGGCATATCCTACTAAAACGCAGCCAAAAATGCAAAAACCGCATCAAATAATATTATACTGAATTTATTGTTAATTTAAATAATAGCTAGGGGCGCCCCTAGTGGCCATTTTTGGCATAGTGACAAAGAATCCGGTTTTTCAGCTTATGTAGTTAGATATTGTAATATACAGTGCTATCGACGTGAGAGCCAGGGATTTTTCCCTGGATCCACTTAGGGATCAAGTAGTTCCTATCCCCTATAAAATTAATGTTATTCTAACAAACAGAAAAAAAGTATTTTATTAATAAAGAAACACCCCGTGTATTTCATTTGTTCAAAAAAATTAAATAAATAAAGGCTAAATAAGTCAGTAAGATGCAAAATGGATTGCTCTACACCAGGTTCCATACAAGCTTTCAACAGCCCCAAACACATTTAATTCAAATTGTCAATAAAAAGCAGTCAACTAAAAAGAAACTGATCAAAACTGAAATTAAATATTAATATGAATGTTAAAAATGATTAAAAAATCATAGGTTTAGCTTTTACAATAAAGTTTCTAAATATACCGTATATATAAGCAAACAACATATGCAATGTTGACTCAACATGTGATATAATGCAGAAAATTAAATAATAAATTATTGTATAGAATGGTTTTCAATTAGATGTAAAATTTACTTTAAATTAGCCAAGTAATTAATATGAAATAAATGACAAATACAATCTTTTCTGTATTTCCTGTGATATTACTAAAAATGTTTAATTAAATCACTGTAATTTTGTAAATACTAGTAATAAAATATTTCTCACAAAGATTTAGAATAAAATTTTATTTACATAATGTTTGAAAATCATTTAAATAATAATCATAGATCTGGATGTTGTCTAGGTTTAATTTGATCTGGTTCACTCAATGTCACACCACCTTCTTCTAATGCTTTCAGAAATATTTTTATCTGCAAAGGAAAATATATTTTTAAAAAATTGACACAATTAAAAATCCAATTATCTGAATTAATTGGATCCTCAAGCTGTCTGAAAATGTGAAATATCCAGATTTTTATAAAATAAGTCATCCAAGAAACAAAGTGTTGACATATATATATATATATCCACTAACCTTTTAATGCTTTGCAGTAAACTGATGCAGGCACGCATTTAAAATTTTAAAAAGAAATTCAAATACAAATTAGAATGCATTGAAAACAAAATAGAACGACAATCACACCAGAAAAAGTTTCAGTAGAATTCCACCTGAAGAAGAAGGTCCTAGGGTGGGACTTCTTCAAATTTATTGCAAAGCATTAAAAGGTTAGTGGATATATATAATTGAATTTTTGCTTAAAATGGTAATTTTTTAAATCTAAAACCCTATTACCCAGACATATACATAATTATGTACAAATAAAATATTGATATTAAATGTGGAAATGTACTGTATCTACAAGTGAATATAGTTTATTTTCTATATTTAGCAAAAAATCACTTTTGCTATACATATAATGTACACATACAGTATATATACAAATAGGCATGTTCTGTACCTAAACATGCCTATTTGTATATATACATGTCTATTTTTAGCAAAGTCACAGAGCAATCTGGATAATTGGAATTTTACTATATTAACTTACATCATGTAAAATTTTTATCTTTGATATTGGAAGATGGTTTCATCATTAACTATCTAAAAACTTGTGAGCATTTAATGCTCATCATAAATTCTCAAATAAGGTACAGTATCTTGACAAAGCATAAAAAAATTCAACTATTATAAAATAAAAGATTATAGCAGGAGGAATACAAGAGCAAGCAATCAACATAATAATAATATTATATTCGCTTTAACGAATATAATATTAACCCGGTTAACGAACGTAATCCGTTCCACGAGTCTGTTCGTTAACCGAAGCAATTTTTCCCATAGGAATTAATGCAAATACAATTAACCTGTTCTAGACATCAGTATTTTTGTAATTTTATTTGTAAAATGGGTTTTCTTTAATGAAAATATAGGAAAACGTGCTCATAAACAGTCGATCTAGGTTAAATTTTCAGAAAAGGGGAAAGATTTGACGGGTATAAAAACATCACATATGATCGTTAAAGTTCTAAAATGACAGATAGCAGAAACAATATGCTAAATTATGAGNGGTAATTTTTTAAATCTAAAACCCTATTACCCAGACATATACATAATTATGTACAAATAAAATATTGATATTAAATGTGGAAATGTACTGTATCTACAAGTGAATATAGTTTATTTTCTATATTTAGCAAAAAATCACTTTTGCTATACATATAATGTACACATACAGTATATATACAAATAGGCATGTTCTGTACCTAAACATGCCTATTTGTATATATACATGTCTATTTTTAGCAAAGTCACAGAGCAATCTGGATAATTGGAATTTTACTATATTAACTTACATCATGTAAAATTTTTATCTTTGATATTGGAAGATGGTTTCATCATTAACTATCTAAAAACTTGTGAGCATTTAATGCTCATCATAAATTCTCAAATAAGGTACAGTATCTTGACAAAGCATAAAAAAATTCAACTATTATAAAATAAAAGATTATAGCAGGAGGAATACAAGAGCAAGCAATCAACATAATAATAATATTATATTCGCTTTAACGAATATAATATTAACCCGGTTAACGAACGTAATCCGTTCCACGAGTCTGTTCGTTAACCGAAGCAATTTTTCCCATAGGAATTAATGCAAATACAATTAACCTGTTCTAGACATCAGTATTTTTGTAATTTTATTTGTAAAATGGGTTTTCTTTAATGAAAATATAGGAAAACGTGCTCATAAACAGTCGATCTAGGTTAAATTTTCAGAAAAGGGGAAAGATTTGACGGGTATAAAAACATCACATATGATCGTTAAAGTTCTAAAATGACAGATAGCAGAAACAATATGCTAAATTATGAGCGAAAGGCTTATAGGTTTATCAACAATGTCTGATCAGAGTTGATGAACAGGTGTCAAATAAACGCCTCGGAACAAAGCTTTCTCGTGACTTGATCTGGTTTCGGTTTTCACCTGGAGACAAAGAAGAAAACAATAGGGAAGCGAGGAATGGGACACAGGACTAACCGTAAGGTGAAATTCAAGAAAGAAATACTATAAAAATCCCAAATCTCAAGGTCAAAACACAGTTTTCCTAAAAGTTCTATGGCGATTATTCTATGTTGTCTTCATCTGGATTAAGCCTGAAGTCATGCCCGCTAAAATTTGTATTGTGTCTCACGGACTGCTCCAGTCGTTGCAGCTCTGTCACTTACTATCGCTTCTCTGACCAAGCGAACCCATCTCGTCCGCTCTGGGACTACGACTAATCAGCTTGCACTATCGTAGGACCAGCGATACGCCACTCCTCAGTGCGGAGAGAAAATACTGTAGATAAGCCATTTCCAACTACCTCAAATATGTAAGCATCTTCCAGTTCTAATAAACGATTTTCACTGTAAAAAACTTGTCATCTTTGTCTCCTCCGCCACCACCAACGTACGAATGGATCCTAGACCATCACCGACACACAATTAACTGATTTTCCCTAAAAGTAAGCAAGCTTACAAATTTGACACAAAAAGCTGTTAAGTTCGTTATCTGAGACAAAATTTTTGCAAAATAAAAGTTCGTTAACCGATTTGGTTGTTAACCAGGACGTTCGTTAACCGGGGTTCCACTGTAGTCAAAATCTGTTCATATTAATCAGCTGGAAGTTATTAACAACTTAAGAATTATAATGAATAAAATTGTCACAATAATGTTTGCTGTAATTTTTAATCATATTCTTAATTTAATTAAAAATATATGTTCTCAATCTCAAATTAGTAGGGTTTTGTCCCTACACATCATACTTTTCCTGATAACAACAGAGTCATGCTGGTCATCTATTTAAATCCATTCAAGGAAAAAATTTTTAATTGAAATCATATGACTTCTGGTCTGGACAAGAAATTCATATATAGTTAATAGGGGCCTCCTGCCCCTAAGCATACCATACCTGGTCTTGACTTTCATCCATCTAACACCATTCTCGAGATTAAGGAAAGATAGACAGATGGACAAACGACAATGGAAATTTATAGATCTACAATTTTTTCAAATTGCAGGTCACCCAGGTTTCAACAAGAAAAATACACTGACACAATGAAATAAATTATCAAAAGGAAAGAAGAAAGAATTTATTTAATCCAAATAGTTATAAAAAAACAATTTTATATAACATTGGCAGAAGACGATTTACACAAACTGCCATAAAGCTCATTTATAAAAAAAAAATTATTAGACAGAACACTGGGAGCCATTTACAGGGTGATTAAAAGATTTTGAATCATTAATTAATTAATTTGACTATTTTATCATTGTCCTAATATAAACATAAAGTTTCATTATTAACAATTAGTTTAGATACATGTAATGATTAAGGTTCAAAGTTCTTTTATTTTAAGACAAACTTCTGTGCAAGAATAGCAAAAGGATGATGATAGTGTCCACTAATAAATAATCTTGCTCTATGATACTTCTGAATGCTGTTTGTGCAACTTATTTTTCATAATTACATCAATATTTTCTTTTGTTACCAGAAAAATAGAGGAATTTTTAGTAAGCACAATTAAAAGAAAACTATATAAACAACAACAACACAAAGCCCGAATAGTATATATCAAATTACCAAACAATCGCCTAAATATCGGACTATAATTAAATGATTGGAATAAAGTAATTTGACATTAGAGGTAGGCGTTAGGTGCCATCTCTTAAGTAAATTAATAATTAAAATTAAATAAATAAATTAAATTAATTTTAGAACCTTCTGGAATAAAAGAACTGGCACAGGGTGGGGCTTGAACCCACAACCTACACTTGTCGTGCGGTGCACTTGCCAGTTACGCCACCCTGACCCCGAGCAAGTCTTCGCTTCCAGAAGTATATTAGATTATATATAACCTTACTTGGTTAAATACATCACTGACTGGGGACGACTTCATCGCCCACGACCCTCAGTGGCACTCGGTGTTACATTAGCTGGCTGAATACCATCTATGTTGTAGATGTTAGTCTACTTGTCTTATTCAGCAGTCCAATGTTCTGGCTAAAGACATTACTCACTAAAGGAGCAGTGCTATTTGCTTTAGTGAAGCAATTCCTCATAGGATAAGATGATACCATCAAAAATAATAACAACTGGATGAACTTTTGAACTGTTTTTAGTGTGCAGAGAGTAGCCTCTAATAAGAAAAGACTGTTTTGGTTCCTGGTGATTGGCTAGATGGAAAGAAAGACGACTTAGTTTTTTTTTCAAAATTTTTATTTTTTCCAGAAGGTCCTCTGCAGGTACCAATGGCATAGCTAGACCAATTGTANATTAATACGTTTTTTTTTAATATTAATAAGAATGTCCCCAGTCAGTGATGTATTTAACCAAGTAAGGTTATATCTAATCTAATATACTTCTGGAAGCGAAGATTCACTTGGGGTCCGGGTGGCCTAACTGCAAGCGCATCGCACGGCAAGCGGAGGTTGCGGGTTCAAGCCCCGTCCCGAGCCAGTTCTTTTATTCCAGAAGGTTCTAAAATTTATTTAATTTTAATTATTAATTTACTTAAGAGATGGCACCTAATGCCTACCTCTAATGTCAAATTACTTTATTCCAATCATTTAATTATAGCCCGATATTTAGGCGATCGTTTGGTAATTTAATAAAAGAAAACTGTTAAAAGACCAAGATTGTTAGCAAATATTTGTAAAACCTTGTTCAACTGAAAATTCATTACCATTCAATTATACAACTGTTGATCTAATTGTTAGTGCTTCCTTCCTTTTGTAAATCCTTTCTCTAGCCTGGGATTTCTTGAAAATTCTCTTCTCTATCAAAAATACACAAATATTTGGACCAAAACAAGAATTATCAATCTTGTTCTCCAAATTTTGCTCTAAAGTTTATACTTTACTTTTTTATAAAAATAAATAAATTGCAAACAAACTTATATCTCTTTTAAAAACATTACATTTATTATAATTATAGTATTAGATAAAATATTTGTAAAAATACTTTAGATAAACATTTTATATTAAATAACAATTATTGGGCTGCAATTTAAAGAAAATTGTAGACCTATAAATTTCCACAGTTGTCCATTGTCTCTCTGTCTTTCCTTAATCTAGAGAATGGAATTAGATAAATGAAATCCGAGACAAAATTTGGAAACCTTAAGGGCAGAAGGCCCCAATTAACTATATAAGAACTTCTGAAAACCAGAAGTCATATTATCTCGATTCAAAATTTTTCCTTGAAGGTGTTAGATAGATGACTGGCAAGACTATCATTAAAGAAAAAGTATGATATACAGGGGCAATCCACCATTAATTTGAGGTGAAAAGCATACATTTTAAGTTAAATAAATTAAAAATATAATTAAAAATTGCAGCCTGGCATTACGGTTTGGCTACCGTAGCCTCATGCAACTCTTCTAGACTCTTATTGCAGTTCCCAAATATCATCCAATATATGCAGAAGTTCCCACCTCTTTAATACCAAATATATGTAGTATATACAGGATCATCGATGTAAATCCAAAAAGTTACAATACAATGAAAAGCAATTAAAGGAATAAATCAATATATTCTTATGAAAATTGATTATAAATATAGTACACAACATACAGAAAGAAATTATTCTATGTATCCTTCATCAGCTTCCATGACCTTCTCCAGTCATAACCTAAAATGGTAGCAGGTGCACTCACTTGACCTGCTCCCTGTCCACGTTTATCATCCTTTTGTAATGGAAGCCTTTAAAGCACTCTTGGCATTTACTTTTGCCTTGATTATGCTCTACATGTAATAGTCAAGGGAACTGCAGTCTCTTGTTTGCCTCCAAAATGGGCACTAAACCAAAGGATCTCAAACAATAATAATACAAAACAATGATATCTACACAGAAGTTTGAAGTTACAGAGTTTGAAAGTCATGTAATTTGATAACAATGCCCTTTCCAATGAAAAATTGTATATATAGTAATAGAATAGACCTAGACATTCTCTATTTAATATTTAAGGGGAAAATCTGTTATGAGTATTCACTAGTATTTATGAGGATGGCATTGTAAAGGAGGATGCTATATTAAGATTTGACTATGCTATATTTTAATTCATTAAAAAATTATCATAATTTTAAATTACTGTAATTTATCATCACTCTTTAAAGTGTAAGAAGAAATTAATCACCATCATTGAACTTTGAACCATATTGGCCTTTCTCAAAAATTTTTCCATAAAAATGTTCTTGATATTAAATTATTTTTGTTTTTATTTTCATCCCTTAAAACATGAATTCAATATCTTGTATTCTATTTTTATCAATAAAATTATCAGAGGTAACAAAAATTCTGGCAACTATTCATTTGGCAAAAACATTCACAAAACATTAAAACATTCAGAGCAAAACATAAAAATAAAACCACAGAAATAATAAAATGGTTCATACTCTATTAGATGCTAATTCTTCTTCAGTAAAATCACAATAAACAAAAAGAATTCCACTTTCTAGACATCTCTGAGCTAATACTCTTCCTATATTTTCTACAGCACACAAATCTGTATTACTAAAACAAAATAATAATTCTTTCATTAAACTTTTATACATTGAGTCTTGTTAAATTTTAAATAATGAAGTTTGATTATTAAATTAATCTCTAATAAGTTTTATATAAAATAAATCTTAAAGTATTAACACTAAGTAAAGATGTAATTGTATAATATATATTACATAAATTACCTCAACTTGCTGTAATCAAATACTTCAATATATAGTACTCCAAAGTAATTTCTACCATTTTAAATTATTGTAATTTTGTTAATTATTATCTGAAGTATGCAATGCATGCCAATCAATAAAGTAACTGTCCAAGTTTCATTTCCCATCTGCATTCAAACATCTTCTTGTCTACTGCCTCTAGAAAGTACTTAAACAAATATGGCAACTCCACAACAGAGAAGGCATTTTATGTTCTGCAACAAAGTTGGAATCACTTGTCATTGTGCAACTTGAGTACTCTACAGGAGCCATGGCTGCCATGGGAGGAGTGTCAATTGATATACTGTTACAAGTGTAGGAAGAATTTGAGTGTCGGTTGGATTTGTCGTATGACACAAGGTGCATGAATTGAGAAGGTGTAATGGGAAAATGTAAAACTTAGACAATTTTCCAATGTTTTAACGTACATTACAATGTTCTCAGGCAATAATTAACATAAATACAATAATTTAAAATGGCAGAATTCTTTTTGGAAGACCCTGTATATATTACAAGTAAAATGTTTTATTAAAACTATACTCAATTTCATTTTATTCAATGTGTTATGTAAATAATAAAGTTTAGTTTACAAACATATCGAATTTTGTATAGTAAGTTAAATATAGTTTCAGGATTATTTTTATAATTCTCTAAACTATTTTATAATTATGTGAAAATAAGCAATAATTTTTGTTAGAAAGAAACTTTAGACATCAAATGTAAGATTATATAATATAAATGTAATATAAGATTTGACAATAAAGTTCAGTGAATGATCCAAAAAAAAAAAAAAAATTGCATTTCATAACGAAAACAAAACTTTACTGACATTCAAAGAATCACCCTGACAACATTTGTATAAATACCAGAAAACTTTAGAAAAATAATCTTTTGATATCACATTCATGATGGATGTCACTAGTGTTGCCATCTTTTGAAAATCACTAACTGGACGGCAGGTCAGGTTTGTTCGAACAGAAGTTCCTGACGCATGTGCAATGTCATTTTCAGTGCAAAGAATAATGTGCATGGCGGTTCTAAATCAGTTATAGTTAGGGACTAGGGACTTGCGTAGGAGTAACGCAGGTAACCTAAATTAAGAAAGAACAGGTACAGATAACTTAGCTCTATTGGATATTAAACATAAAAAAAAAATAAAATAAAAATTGACAGGTTTACGCCACAAGTTGGCATAAACAGACTAACTAACATGGCAGAATTGTGGATGAGTTTGTGAGTGCGAGTTCTTTCACTGGTAAAATAGTGTAAATTTTTAAAAATACTTGCAAGAACTTTGTTTCATCGTAATTTCACAATTTCTAAGAAATTTCCGGACAAAATTAATAGTTCACCCAGACAGTGAGTCAATTTCCGGACTGTCTGGGTGAAACCGAACCAGTGATAATACTAGATGTCACATTCATCTGGATGTCTGGAGTGTCTGCAAATTTCATGAAAATGTTTGAACCAACACACTTTTTGTCATTGCTTCACCTCTGTAAACAGAATGTCATAAGTTTCTGATGCAGTTTTACCCAACTTACAGCAGAATGTTGATTTGCTGTTTCATTTCTCACTAATGACAATCATCGCTTACACAGGTCACGTAATCATCATTGTACGTCAGCTACAGATTTCAACCAGTCAAAAACAAGTCTCAACTTGTTAATCAACTATATGATTTGTCCAAAGTTGTGTAATTAGGCTGATATCTTGTATCAATATTAATAATTGTAAATTAAATTTAAAATAAATTAAATAATTTAGAATAATCTGAAAGAAATATCTGTTAGCAAGATGATTAACAGACATAGTTGCCAACCATCAGCATTTGGCACCGACTAGCAGCATTTTATATGCTCAGTCAGTGGACAGGTCACTTTTCCTTTTTATCGGTGTTTTTAAAATTTGATATTATCAAATTAACACTTCATTTAACAAGTCTAACACCAATGTATATGCCAAAGACATTGTATTTTATTTTGAACTAGTAGCCCGGGACGCCCCCTAGTAGGTATTCTTTACAAATTCCCATGAGGCACGGTTCCTTTGACTTTTTGTTCCTATCAATATGCTCTACAGCTCTGTTGAAGTCCCAATCGCATCATACGGATCTATATTTCTATCAAACATTCTATAAAACTTTGAAATAGTTTAATTTGTTTATTTACCTTCGCTCGTAAACCTTGATTTTAAATGTATCTATCATTTTTTCAACAAATTTCCCATGAGTCAATGCGCGACGTTCACTGACTTGTGAATCACGAGATGTTGTAAATGTGCAGCGTGAGGTTAATTGCGGCATATAATAAGGCAAGGCAAGGCATATAATAATTATTTATACCATTCCATGGTATAAATAATAAATTCCTATTACAAATAAAAATAATTTATTGTTATTTAATTTAAAATCATCACTAGGGAGCCTCTAGTGCCCATTTTTGGTATACCGTTATGCAGACAGACGGATGCACATTCAATGGGTTATATAGATAGATGACTGAAGCAAATCAGAAAAATGTTCTCAGATTTCTTCAATTGGAAAAGAAACAAGATTAATCTATATATATAAAAATGAATGTGTGTGTGTGTGTGTCCTTCATGCATTACCACACCGTTTATCCGATTGCCGTGAAACTTTGGGAAGTTGTTTAATATACTCCCGTGAAGGTTTCTGGCATAGTACGATTGCCACGAAGCTTTAGGAAGTTTTTTAATACACTCTGTTTTCTGGCATAGCGCATTTATCCTACGATAGTGTGTATACGAGCATTTCATCATGAGATTGATGGATTTCAAATTGCGAAGACTATTTCCCCCTCCAAGAAATATCTCTATATATGCATTTGTGAACTGTTATTTATGATATTTGTAATAATTTTTGTTTAATCACTTTATTTCAACTATTTTTTGCTAATTACGTATTCGCTCGAACTTTGTTAAAACCTTAACCATATCCCGAACAACAACCAAAGTCATAGGAGGAAATTCGCCTATTTTACCGATCTAGGGATACCCCTTTTCCAAATTTTAATATCAACTCAAAATAATTTAAAAAGACAAATTACAATAAAATGGTTTATTATCCAACTATCAGAAATTTCACAACACGCCAAGGAAGAGAGGAAGGAGCAATTAAATAATTAAAATTATAAAGGATTTTAAAATATATATAAAAATGGGGAATATTGCACTTCTGACAATATCTGCAAGTGTGTACACTAAATTTGGAGAATCCACGCTTCTCGCATGGACAACTGTATGTGGCCAGCTCACGTGTCGGAAAACCTTCCAATTTATTCACGTACACACCAGACGGAAAAACAAAAATTATCACGTATCCACAAGCACTTCAATAAATAAATAGAATTGAAATGACACTTTGAAATGTTTTCCCCATGAAAATGAATAATAATAATAAGTTTCAATAAAAATGATAAAATGTAAATTGAATTTTATTATAACGAGTTTGCTTGAATTTTCTTTCTTCTGAGATTGCAGCAATGCATGGAGGGTAAGCTAGTATTTTATATATGTATGTTGGTATATGTAAGAGAATTTTAGCTCAAATGTGATAATTTTAAATGTCAAATACCATAAATTGCATCTTCAAGTCTGGCAACTTTAGTGCTATCATGTCGGTAGTTAAATCAATTATGGCAGACTTATCAACAGAAGGAAATAAGTTACTTTTACAGTTTACCAAATTATTGAAGCAGTGCTAGTTTCTCTGCCCAAAAAAAATCATCATCTGATTCATCACTTGAGAATATTCAGTCCACACGGTATGAACTTTCTCAAGAAAAGAAACTAGATGGTTCTTTGAGATTTGTAGGATTTTATTAAAAGATTTGTAATCTTTGTAAAATAGTAAGGTTGATGATAGTTTTATCAAATAGAATTGCAGCACCTTCCCTGCACTGCTGTGTAACAAAAGGACAAGATATTNCTGAGCGGTTCTTCTGGAACAACCTTACTTTTTTCTAAAATAAAAAAAGTAAATATATTTATAACTATTCCATTCCAGGTTAATTAATTTTAATTAACGGCACGTCTATAATCATATTTTTTTAACTTAGAATAGCAAAGATATTGTACATGACAGATAAATGTAAAATATTGCTCAATTATACAGCTTTATTAAACTGTTGTATCTTAGGGAAACAAATCTAAATCCAGCTTTGCATACAGGCATGCATGCAAAGCTGTCAAAAGCTCATATCAGGTCCAGGGATACAGTAAAACTCTCTTGTTTATTTATTTTTTTTCAATAAATGATATACATAGAATAGTTCTTTATTATTAAAAAGAAGTCTTAAATATTTTATTTTCAGTTAGTAAAAATAACATTAATTTTATAGGGGGTAGGAACCACTACAGATCCCTAAGCTAGGGGAAAAATCCTCAACTCTCTCTCTCAATGGCCCTGCATGCACAACTTGATACCATTCATTAAACCTGTCTATTGACAATAGTTGCATTTTGCCTAGTAAAGCAACTTTANGGTATGAACTTTCTCAAGAAAAGAAACTAGATGGTTCTTTGAGATTTGTAGGATTTTATTAAAAGATTTGTAATCTTTGTAAAATAGTAAGGTTGATGATAGTTTTATCAAATAGAATTGCAGCACCTTCCCTGCACTGCTGTGTAACAAAAGGACAAGATATTCAGAATGGTAAGAAAAAGACAAGAGATAAGAAATAAATAATCAGAAAAATTATTGTCCTTAATTTATTAACTTTCACTACAATTATTGACTGATAGCAACTGTCATGAGGACATTGTACCATAACAGAAAAAATTATTAAC